GCTAAATCGACTCAGAATTTGATAAGGACCCAGAATATATATACTTTGTTGGGTCTCAGATGAATATTTCTTGGTGTTACACACGGAATGACAAAGTTATATATACCCTCTATCACCACTGATGGTGGTGGAGGGTATAAAAAAAGATTTTGTATTGCCACACTAACGTATACACAACATTTGTGAAACAAATTAAATATTACTAATACGCCACCTCTACCAAAATCCACAATAACGCTACAAAAAGAACACCACAATATAGTTTCCTGTTTTAAATTAGATAATTATTCAATAAAGTTTCTCTTTAGTAGAAAAAATTTACCTAAAAGCAAAATCTTGATTGTTGTCTATTTATGAAATTTAATTAACTTCGTTTCTATATGAAACATTATAAATGAAGCTAAATTTAATAAAACTTAAAGTATGCCGCGAGCATATGGCTGAAAGAGTTTTGCCTAAATATTAGGCCAAAATTGTCAGTAATGCCTGATTATATTCTGCTATTTTATCAGTTGTGTGCTTCAAGTCTATTTAGGTATGGGAAAGGCATATCGTGACCCTATATTCAAAAAGTGCGAACTCAATTTTGGGCAAAGTGAGTTTTTGATGCAAAAGGATTCCTCAATGCATGATCCACGTCTGGTATAAATTTGAAACCAAAAAAGTAATTTTTGCACTTTTAACAACAATTTTTGTTAATATGCTATCTCAAAGTTAAATTTTTATTGAAGAAAATAAGTGCTAACTTCCATACAAATTTTAAAAAATTTTTTAAAACTTCAAATTTATTTAAAATTTATTTTGTATATTAACAAGATGAACATGCTGAACACAAAACAGGTGAAGATTAATAAATTTAATGTATAGTTTTTAAGATATTATCATTTATATATTTGTATATAAAGCCAGTTTTAGACTTTAAATAATGTTTTTCCGAAAAATGTAAAGTTATTTCAGAAATCGTTTATAACATTAAGATCTATAATATTCTATGGTTGCAATTTATAATTTTTATTATAAAAAAGTCTTTAAATGTGCAAATTATGGAATATTATTCAAAAAATATTGGTACTTTTTATATTCAAAAACGTTTCATAATTTAAAATATTTGTACTGAGAATAAGGAATAGTAAACAAGCAGATATGCCATGAGTTTTTCTACTTAAATGGTGTAAATACATCTTATTGGACTTATTGGTTTGACTTATATCCCTTTAAAAAAAAAAAAAAAAAAAAACATTTCATAAAATTATAAAATAACGCATATTATTAGAAGAAATTTTTGTTCTATTCTTTGAACAAAACATGCTAACTTAGAACAAATATTTATTTTTTTGTCGACCAAAAAGTGCTATCTTAAATAAGTCGCTAAAATGTGCAAAATATTAAAATTTTTTTATAGGTAAGAATTAGTAAGTATGTTAAAAACGTATTATGGAAGAAATATTGTCTTTTAATGCAATATTTCACGAATTAAATAGTTTTTTTGCTTTCCTGAAAACTAGACTTTATTGATTTAGCACTTTTTGAATATAGGGTAACGATATTTAAAATTTGTTTTCTTTGTATTTCTGACTTCTTGCTATATTTCATTCCACTCTTTTTTTAGATTATTTACGGTTTTCAAACCCTTAAACCAAACCACATTCACCTATGATTCTGTTTGGTTCTTTACTGTTTTGCCATATTCTCCAGTTCGTTGTATTTCTAATTTTGTTTATATTTTTTTTCAGAGGTAAATCAACTATAAAATTGATTTTCTGGTATTTTTTTATTCCCTTTGGTAACATGGTTCTAGACCACTAACGTTTGTATAGATTGTGTAGCGATACTGTGGCAATTGACTGGCAAGGAGTGGTTGTTAAATATTAGTGAAAACATTTATTTATAAAAATACAGGTTTACTATGTAAGTTTATTTTTTGCTTGGCTGGAAGGAACAAATACTTTCACCTACAAATTTGTGTTTTTATTTAAATTGGGTGTGTCAAGTTTACTCCGAAGAATTTCTTTGGCTAATAAATACAAGAAGCATCTTAATTTTAAATAAATCTATTAAAATTCCATGTATTGTTTAGCATATGATTTATATAAATCTTTTACAAAGCTCTTTTAATAATAGTAGATTAATATTAAAAGTCAGTAGATTATAAATTATATTTTATTGTCAACTCATAGTGCTTAATTTTTGATCTATGATTATGACTTATTTTATGATTAAAACTTTTTTATATAATCAACTGAAAATTAATTTACTTAATCCTTTGCTTAAACTTTATGTTTGATGACTTTATAAAAGTAAATACATATTCCTTTTAAAGTTATGACAAATTAAGTCTGAAAAAAATTAATAATATTAAAACTTAAATTCCTTAAATTATCAACAAAATCCTGTAAACTCGCGTCAATAATCTCTTGATGTCTAACTAGCAACGCATAGAATGAACTTTACTTCATCATCCGTTTATGAATAATTCTATGCTTAAGTAGACTAGTAAATAGTTTTACTATACATTTACTCATAAACATCTATGATGTTTTGCCTTTCATTTACTTGCAATTTAACAAACCTGGGATTTGTACAATAATCTCTACTTAAGTGACATAAAACAAAAGAATGTTAAGTAGGGGGGGAAATATAAAAGCTTATGAAGAAAAAAAACACAAACTATAATCGGGCGTGGCCTACACCCTACACCAATTGCGAATATTAAATGTGATTCATTTTCAATAATACAGCTTTTTTGTTGAATCTTAGGTTCCAAATAATATCTGTTCATGTACGGTTGTATGCTGACTAGGAGAAATAAAAGGCCGATTTCAATCATTTTCAACAGCCTTCGTCAAATGATGAACTTCTAAGGGGGACTTTGTATGGGAGCTATGACCAATTATGGGCCGATCCAGAAATTTTTTCTCTAAATGGATTCTATTGACATAAAACTTTAATTTGTTAAATTTTTGTGAAGATATCAAACTCAAACGAAGTGAGTTCACTCGGAGGCTTTGTGGCTCATTGTGATACCATTAAAATTGTCATTTCCTTATGTTGAGAGAATGGTTTCCCTCTCTAATTTCGTTGACTACTTGCTACTAGTAACGCATCTTTGAGAGAGTCCAGGGGCCAAATTATGGCATACGATATCGATCGAAATCTCCATTCAGATTCTATTGAGATTTCGATCGATATCGTATGCCGTAATTTGAACTCAGATCATGAATAAGAGCTCTCATAGAAGGTGTTGTACCGATTCCACTTCTTCTCTTCCAAGCAGCTTCTACAGTAGCTATAACGTGGATAGCCCATACGTTCCGACATATGTCCAATCATGTAGTGCCCAGAAGCCTTATCGAGTTCTAATTAAGAGACAAGAGAGTCCTATGCTTTGCCAGAGTGGGTCACAGCAGTCTGAATATTCTGGTGATATTTGACCACATGTGTTCCGTTTCACTCAAAGTCCAGTCATCTATCAATTTCGATAAGGTCGTCAGGGGAGTGTATATAGCCTTTTGCGCAAGGGTTAAGACTAGGAATGCCCCTTTGGTTGCGTATTCATTAAATATTTAATTTCCCCGGATGCCCTCATGTCCTGCAACTCATATCAATTCAACGTTGTGTCAGTTGTACCAATGATTGAATACAATTGAGAAGACATTTCAACTTAATAACATTGGAGTTAAGAGCCTTGCTTGATGCAAGGCTGTCCAAGTATATACATATATATAGTCGAATTTTCGAGATTTAGTTCCCGGATTCTTCTGGCGGCACATTCTGCCGATTTTTGGATAGATAGTAGTATATTAGACGTAGTTGAGAGATAAAAGGCTCAAATCGGAAGGTCCGGTTGCATGAAGGGGACTTTGTATGTGGACTAGGGTCAAAGAGACCCGATCATGATGAAAATTGACAGCGTATTTTATGTTTTTAATGCAGAAAATATGTATCTACCAGAGTAACTTTTTCTAAAATAATTATCATTCTTTAAAAAAAAAATTCTATAGAAAATATGTCTCCTTTAGGATTCGGTTGTATAACTGCATATTTTTATAATTTAACCGATGAAAAAATATTTTGTTAATTGCCACACTAACGTATACACAACATTTGTGTATCTATATAATATCACTAATACGCCACCGCTACCAAAATTCACAATAACGCTACATAAAGAAATAGTTTGTAGTACAGTTTGCTTTTTTTAAAGAGGATCAATAGAGAGATAGGGTAAATTATGGACCGATCGTAATAAAATTTTTCAGAGAGATTTAGGTTCCTATAAAACTTGTTCATGACGATTTTTCCGATATACTGGTATTATTAAGCCAATTTTAAGGGTTAAAGTAATTTTCAGAAACGAACCTTAATGTGGGGGTTGTGGTGTGAACTGATCCTTATCACATTTAATAGAGTAAGTTTTGTTTGTGTCGATTTTCATTATAGTGCTAGTATTAGGCCAGTTATGAGCGTTAAAGTTTTACTGAAAGGAATTTTATATAATTGATAAGGTTAATTATGAGCTGATCTTTACCAAAGAAATTTTTGTTGAAATAAAACTATATTGTATCGAATGTCATCTGACTGATCATGACAAATTATACATTTTATATCTTAGATTGGTCATCCATTTCTGCTAAAATCAATGATTCTTCGCTATAAAGTACACATTTACTCCTGATATTCATTCCTGGTTTCTCCAAATGTTGCAAACATTAAAACAAACCACCTTTACCTGTGTAACTTATAGTAAAGTAAACAAACATCAAAATTAATAGGAAAAAACTGCTTAAATCTAGAAACATAACAACAAGCATATTTTGTTTAATGTTGCTAAAATAATATTAGCATTTTTATAACGCATTTAAAATAATAAGTATACGTATCTTTTACTTTTAACATTTTCAGTATACTTTTCCTTTTGTTTTCAAGTATTATTTTGATACACTTCAGTAAAGATGAATTTAGGTTGTTGATGTCATTATCTTCTCTTGTCACATTTACAGATGCTGCTCTTAATGGGGGAGTGGACGCAGGTATTGTTGGTACAAATAGTGGTGCTAGTGGTGTTGTTGGCAATTTCAGACTGTCCTCTCTATCATCTGTAACATCTTCATCCTCATCATCAATAACAGCGTTTTCGTCATCGTCGTCGTCGTCATCATCATCATCAGCGACGGAGACAGAAAGACCGCGTATATTTCGTAACAAACATCATCATGAACGTCATTGGGGGCCATTTTTTGAAGAGCCACTCAACTCAACAACCTCAGGCGATAATAGTATAACAACAGCCCATCTCTATACGGAAGCAGTACTTAACTGTCGAGTTGGAATGCTGAAAGACAAAACGGTATGTTGTTAAACCCATTATTTATACACACAAAGTGTATGTCGATGTGTATGTGTGTGTGTATTTGAGTTTCCCTTTCCTATTCTGGCATTCCACTTTTCCTTCTTTTTTATTTAGATCACTATGTTGTAAATAACAGCAATATCAGAAGTAGCAACAACAACAATAACTGAAAATAATTTCTATAGAAAAATCTTAAAGTATTCCAAAGAAATAGGAAGCCGAATGTAAGACTGAAGAATAAATGAAAAAAAAACACAAACGAATAAGAAGTTAAATTATAGTGTCATTATATTAAAATTCATAAATAATATAATGTTTGCCAAAAAGTCAAGTAAAACTTGTGTGGCAATACATATTACTCCATCCCATATACAGATATAAGATTTTTAAAAAACCATTAATGTCTTTATATACATACATACATACATAGTCTGTTTAAAACAGTATTTAAAACACCCAAAGGCAAACTTCAATTTGACTAAAAGCTTAGCTGTGCTTAAAGGATATGATTTTCAACGAAATGAGAAAAAATGAATAAAAAATATATTTATTTTTTTTTTATATGACAAGCACCCTCCCAGTCTAACTGTGGCAGCGCTGCTAGAATGCAAGAAAAGTATAAAAAAAACATTAAAAAACTGCCTGTAAAATATGAAAAATGAACTCAGAGAATGAGGAATACAATTCTACTTATAATTGCAAATGACAGTGTGTATTGCAAAGTGTAATATACTGCCGTTATCACTGTGTCGGACACAGCTGCTGTTTCTTGAACTGCTATTTGAGTATAGCAACTGAAATCTGATAATCACAGTGTGTTTTTTTTCTGAACTCCAAGTAGGATCTACGGGTAATTTAGTCGAGATATTTCTAAACTATATGCTCCCTTAATAAGTTGTTGCAGTATATCAGACAAAGACATCAAATATAAGAAACATGCTTATATAAAGGGACGATCGGTGGAAATCGTCTTAAACAACGTTGTCCACTTCATAGGTGAATCCTTCGATACCAAATTGGCGGTATGCATTGACATCAAAGGGGCCTTCAATAACGTGCACACTGATACTCTTATCGAATCCTTGGACCAGTTTTATGTTGACCGGGTGCTCTGTAACTGGATCAACTACTTGCTAAGAACAGATGGATAAGCTGCGAGATGTACGATATAAATATCAGGAAAAGGGTGTTTCGTGGTACACCATAGGGTGTTATTTTGTACCCTTTACACCGGGCTAGCACAATTAATAGATGTCGTAATTCTAAGGGGTAAGGATCCAAATTATCTTTGTAGAAGAGCTGAGGAGTCTCTGAATACGGCCTTGAGCTTGGGTCGACCGAATGGACTCAATGTTAAGCCGGACAAGACGGAAATCTGTTTTTTCACAAGAAAGATACACATTTTTATGTATATTGAACCCTTTGAACCCTAGTTCCTGGGCAATAAGATACCGGTGACAGACAGAGTTAAGTAGTTAGGTGTTCAAAAAAAACTTGACCGGAAATTAAAATGAGGACATCACATAGAGGATAGAATCAACAAGGCACACCGGTCCTGGGCGATATGTAGGAAAACTATTGGTATGAAAAGGGGTCTCAGTCCTACTATGACACATTGGATTTATAAAAGTATAATTAGGACATTTTCAGCTTATGCCTCATTAATCTGGTGGACTACTTTGAACAAAAATTGTAATATCAAACAACTACAGCGAGTTCAGCGTGATGCAGGAAACGTTGCTGGATATTCCATCCATTGAAACATATTTAGGATATGAGCCGGCACTTACAGCCAAAGAAGGATACGTCATCAATGTATACTGGAGACATTGGAAGGCTATACACAGAATATGTCGGAAACTCTGAAACAATGATCCCAGATAGAATGTCTTGGTCAAGCGGAACATTACAGCATATACCCGTAGGAATCCGTTGCTACACAGATGACTTAAAATTGGGGGGCAAAGCGAGCCTGGGGCTCTATATTGAAGATCCACATAACGGATACACCAGCGTTTACTTAATGGATTCGAATCCAGAAGGCAATTAAGGCAATATATACGGATACACCAGCGTTTACTTAATGGATTCGAATCCAGAAGGCAATTAAGGCAATATCAGGTGATAAAGTTAAATCTAAAACCGTATTGGATTATAAGAAAGCTTTAACTGAATACTCTCCCAGAGGTAAGGTTTACATCATATGGACCAGGCCACTCGGAAATAATCGGCAACGAATGGGTGAATGTACCTATTAGCTTTAAATGGAACGGAGCTTGATGTAGTTAACCCGGCGAACGCAAAACCATTCGATGCAACGAGGGCTGAATTCAAAATTTGGATGAGAGAATCTCATAAGGACTCTTGGAATAATGAAACGGTGGGTAGAACCACAATGGTCCCAAGGGGTGACCCTAATGGGAGAAAGAGAAGAATTCTTCTTGAAATGAACAAGTCAGAGGTTAGTATTATGGTACGTATTCTGAGTGGACACACATGATTAATGGCACAGCTATACAAAATTTGACGTGCAGATTCAGACGAATGTAGAGCATTTGGACAGGACAGTGAAACTCTGGAGCACTTTCTTTTCCACTGTCAGACATTCATCGAAGTTAGATATCAATATCTTGGGAGTGATATTATTCCCGATATAACATTCCTCACGAACACTGATTGGAAAATTATTAGGAATTACGTCCAGGAAACTGAGTTTCTGAACATTGAATGATAATATACTCAGTTAACACAATGTTTGTATTTATGACAAGGAGCGTACAACAGGCCCGTTAGCGGTCTAGGTGTATTTCTTCGGATTTGGTGTAATATACATCCGCCATATACCTAACCTAACTTGACATTGTTTTGAACTTTTGCTATGAATCAAATCATTAAGGCACAATGTGTCCTTCATTCTTGTAAGAAATACTTTTGAAATAAATGGTTCCTTTATATTTTGGATGGGTATTACAATTTGACATATGAAGCTCTTCACAATGAATTAAGGCCGAAATTTCTTCTCAATCGCATACAATTCATGTTTTAATTCAGATGAATGCTTATTACATGGTTCATTTCTTTACGAAACTGAACTGTACAAAACTTGGCACAGTATCGTACATAACTCTGACTCTGTATTACAGAAAATAACTGTAACACTATTGGTCCTTCACAGAATTCCCTTCTTATCGTGAACTGTACAATTGAAAACGTGTTGTAAAAATTAAGAAGAATCTGTAAATCATAATTGAAATTCCAGAACTACATCGACTAAGATATCGTAGTACATGATCTGGACTGTTTCAGGATGTGGCGCTAAAAATTGCCTAAATTAAGCAGAAATAATACAAGCTAGAAAATATATATGCTAGATATTAAGCATTTATTTTAAAGAATGGGCTTTCAGATATGTAATTTTAATCTAAACTTCTCTCAAGTTGAAAATGTTTTTCAAGTCTTAAAATTTAAGCATTAACCCAAGTAAAATTTTTTTTTGGTAATCATCATTTATGACTAAAATTACCACGTATTTAGGTAAATTGTTATATACTACATTTGCAACATATTGTCTTTATTGTTTAGAACTAAGTCATTTTCATCTGATATTTATTGAAACAAATTGTCTTTAACATCAATTTTTACATGTAATCTTCAGCTTGTTTGACATAATTTTCCTTCTACATATTAGACAACAAGAACGTCCTCAATTTATATAATAAGAAGTCAACATATTTTATTAATTGTAATCCATAAAACTATGATTTTTTCTGAAAAAAAATTATTAGGAACATAACAATATACATCATGTAAAATTTTTTGTTTTTGTTTTCTGGTTTCACTAAAAAATCTCAAAATAAGCTGAAATATAACGAAAATATATGTACAATATATTTTTTTTAAAACTGATTCCCAGTTGACTCACTGTTTAAGTACTTGTCCTTATGGCACTCATGGCTGACCTGCTTTACTAGAGTCATTTTTATCATTAGGTTTTCAAGCAATTTTTTGAATGAGTATGAAAGCGAATGTGTGCAAGTGTGTGCATTTGTTATTCTGATTTTTAATTTTTTTTAGTTATCTTGCAACATACTTGAATGTACATGAACTTACTATTTCTACTTCTAATTGTTGTTTTTATATTTGTTTTACTGTTATGTGTTGTGTTGTCGTAGTCTTGAGTAATTTCTTAGTTATAGCATCTAATAATACTTTAGGTCTAATACAGACTGATGATGGTACTGGGTAGTGGCTGTGCCAGTAGATGGAAAAGAGAAGAAAAAATCCAACATATTTTTAAGTCAATGTGTACAAGTATTTGTGGTTGTATATCTATACATATAAAAATGTGTGAACATTTTTCTTATCATTCCATCATATAAACACAACATTCACTCATTTATACATACACACACATACTTTCATAAAGGAAAACTTTAAAATGAACCGAAAAAAACATCAACTAAAATTCCGGTCATGAAGTCTTTTAGTTGGTTCTATTCTAGTGACTTTACAATATGATGCTTGCAGATAGGTAAAAGAATTAATTGCTCTAATAAATAAATAACTAAGGACAACGATAAGAGGTAAATTGTTTTGCTAATTGGGACACCAGATTAGCAATCCTGGTGAAAACGAACAAAAAATCTCTTAGGGTGAGGAATGATATACAAACATTTTAAACTATACTTTAAAAGAAAAACTGTTTTGACCAGTATCACACAATGACGATAATTGTACTTTTAAGTGCTCCAATTATCGCCTCTATCTCTAAGTGTAGGAGCAGTTACGTGCAACATTATATACTAGTACTAGCTATATCAAGTGTGCTTTGCTACTTCTAAAAGCAATATGTGTCAATAAAAACCCACGATTTTGAAGATTCTAACTATAATAATTTTCGCCAATTTCTATCTATCTATGAAAAATTTGAATAATATAAGAGTTTCCAAGATACACGAAATTTTGTATTTAATTCATATATGTTGTACTAAGACACT